TCTGCCCTCAATGTACCAGCAGGCCTGGATTAAATTTATCTGCTTTTATTCTCTTCATTTTTGGTCTCTGTTTTGCCTTGTTTTAGGCATCAACCCAATCCCATCCCTGCGCTCCCAGCACGGCAGAGATGCCAGGTTTGTCATTTCTCTTAACACAAACATCCCAATAAATCCATGCTGGGCRTTTCCCAGCAGCCAGGCAGGCTCTGGAGGGTGCAGATAACCCGAGCTCTGTCACCTCGGGCTCAGTGAGATGAGCAGACAGCTCAATCCCTGCTCCAGGATCCCAGGATTGCTCCCCCTTCCATCCCTGCTAATCCCCCCTCGTCCCTGGTAGCTCCACCCCGCCATCCCCAAGGCCAGACCTCACCGTAATTCCGAGTTTAGCTTTGCTAAGATTTACATTAAACATGAACGGATCTTAAAAAATGGAAATAAATAAATTCCAGCATGACAGGAAGGATCAACCCAAGCCCCAGAGACACAGAAACTGTGCCATGAACTGCTGGGAGATGCCAACCCCATCCAGGGCCTGCTCACAGCAAAGAAAACTGGAACAGGGAGGGAGCAGAGGSTGGAARAGGCACTTTGGGGTTTAACTTCTGYTTCATGCACCAGAATTAAAAGCTGATATGATCACRGAGTCACAGAASCATGGAATACCCTGWGCTGGAARAGACCCACCAGGATCACCCAGTCCAGCTCCTGCCCTACCCWGACACCCCAAAATCCCACCCYGATGCTTTGGTGCYGCAATAACCAYGCTGTAACTGTTACAAAAATATTAAATAAATTAAAACCTGCCATCCAAGGGCTTTTTCCATTTTTATGGATATGAAAACGGACTTTCTCCATTTCAGGGATATGAAAATGGAGCTGCAGAATGAAGAAGGCTGGGATGAGGATTCCAAGCTGGTACTCACATTGTAGAGGGGGATGGTTTTCATCACCTTGTACTGCTTCATGGGGTCCATCTTGTACAGGTGGCGGTCAGTGATGAAGATGGCCCTGTCCTCCACCTTGYTGAAGCGATTCACCTGCACAGAAACAGCAGGTCAGGACTGCTGATGGCTGCACCAGCATAGGGAGAGGGAAATGGGCAGTGCCAAGGGCCAAAGTGATGGAAAAATAACCAAATTCACACAAAAAATGCCCTAAACTCACAGAAAAATGCCCCAAACTCACATAAAAATACATCAAACTCACATAAAAATACACCAAACACACAAAAATATACCAAACTCACAGAAAAATGCATCAAACCTACATAAAAATGCTCCAAACTTGCACAAAAATATCCCAAACTCACACAAAAATATACCAAATTCACAAATACCCCAAACTTGCACAAAAATACCCAAAACTCACACAGAAATG